ACTGTTGTGCGGCAAATTTTTGAGCTAGCACAGTACCAAGTCGCAAACTCTGACGTGGCCGTACGCACTGCACAAGCGTGCGCGGTAGTTGAATTTGAAAATCTTAGCTCGAACATACACGGAGAATGTCTCTGCAAATTTTTAGTTTCCTACCTTGCCTGGTTCGCGAAATCGTTTCCCGCCAAAGAAATTTGCACATTTTTTTGGACGATCCGTATGCAGAGTCCAGGTGCGTGTGGGAAAAGATCTTAAAACAGTAGGGTGACATATGGGTAGGAACGTATACCCAAAATTTCAGCCTCCCAGCTTTCTTGGTTGCTGAAATGAAAGTGGGTGACAAAATACACTCGCTTCCGAACACACACACACACACACAGACGACCTCTCGACAATATGCGTCTTTGCTGACTATAGCAGTGCTATAGAGCTGCTACAGCCAACGCTAATAGCGTTGCACAGCAAAAACGCATAAAAGGCGTAGTTATACTCGCAATCTGGTGCGTGTCGCAGTTGATTAGGCTTTTATTCTGATACTTAGTTCAGAGCAATGATCACTCAGTTTCTGACGATTTCATAAATGAACTGTATCACGTAACTCGCGCCCGCGCTGAGGGCTTAAACATATTAGCTGTATATTGTAATTCACCGGCTCATCAGGAAAACAACAATATTCACAGTGTTTGTCAGAGAAAATTTCTTGTGATTCTAATCTCATAATTCCTCATGAATCACAACAGTTCTGGATAGTCCGAAATGCCACACTCGAGCCGGAGCTTCTCCGAAGAACGCAGCTTTTGGTAAAGATCAAAACACCTGGAAGAGAACTGAGCAGTCCACTGGATGATCAGCTACACTTCGTATATTTCTTTGTTGAGATGCTGTTCACTTCTGCTTCTCATACCTTTCAGAGGCTTTGGCCTGACGCTAGTATGTTGAAATTACAATCGTCGTATTGACAAGATCCAGCTGTGGTGCTCAACAGAAATGAAAACAACTTCACGGGCCGAACACATTCCTGTTTAGCTGTTTAACCTACAACTCTGCACTATTTTCCTAAGCCGTAGTGAAATAACTTTTAAATCATACCGCGTGAAAGCAAGTGAAACGTGATTCACCGGCCTGCCATGCAAGTGGGAGCAATTTGCAAGTGGAGGAACTTACCTAAAAAGTGCCTGCTTTCGCAATGTTTCCGCATCAAAAGGCGGTGGAAATGCTGTGACACGTATGCAGTTGCATTCCTGAGTCAGTTCAGCAAGCATCGCACTGCCGTCGTTCATCACGTCGATCATCGCGTGACCGCCGTACCTTAGCCACGTACAGTTCGCCTGCATTAGTGCAGCTCAACAGTTTATGTACAGCGTTCTAATTAGTGGAAAAATTCTAAAAAAAA